TTACCGAGTGATTATATAGCAGTATACCCCTTTTTCTATTTTGACAGTATTACTCAATAATAGGTATTCATTCTTACAGAATTTGACATAATTATACAGTTTTGCCTGTAAAATACAACGAAGTGTCGTCTGGTTATGTTCTGATCACCGAGTGCCTACATATTTATCATGTTACCTATAACTATTGTAATTAAAGTCTATCAATCGCAATTTGGTATAAGACGAGGCCAAGATGACACATTTATCAAGTCTTCCAATAAATTTCAAACATGACAAATGTTGATTCGAACATTTTGAAACTGAATGAGATTTTAGCGAATTGTATTCTTGTTGTAAGCAACCATCGTTGTAGAATAGGTTATTCATTTTATTTTACGCGATTGCAAAGATTTTCGAGAATAAGTACGCTAGGGCAAAGTCAACACCCTTTTGTATAACCCATAGAAGTCAAATGCGGATTACGTTTTTATTTCATTCATTCATTTCGGTTTATTGTGTCAAAATTCCATGTTAAAACAGTGGGGAGACTGATACGAACAAAGATTACAAAGTTCAAAGAAATAAAGAGAAATTAAAAATACATGTACATCAATATGGAAACGATCACAAATTAGTTCAAGGAATAAATTAACAATAACAATAATGGAAACTTCAATATATTGCACATCATACATTAAAATAAATCGAATTTACATACATGGACGAGAGGGGAAAAAGGAAGATAAAAAAAGAGAAAATGGACAAAGCATTTCATTTCCTTTTCTCGTAACATGTAGATTTGACATTTACATTTTAACACATTTAACATATGAAGAGCTTGGTTCCAAAAGGAGCTAAATCCATATTTTATCAAAATCGAGTTTTTGTCTTAAAATAATGATTTCCTACATGGGGACAAAATGCACTATATCACATTTTAAAATTTCACCAGGAAGTATGAACATTTTAGGTACAATATAATGCCATGATTGTGATGTTCGCAAATTTCAGTGGGCGATGACCAAGGCTACTGAAATTGCCTGATGTTGACTCTCGAAAGTCTTTGCGATCGTGTTTAAAAAAAAAAAAAATCAGTATTTTGGGGCTTAGGAAAGAGATTTTTTTTGGAAATTTACTTTAACCAAGTGCCTTACACAGCTTAGTAGAAATTTTCTAAAAGACGCCCAATATGATAAATGTTTTTTGAACGCAGACAGGCATTAAATTGGTGGGACTTTAACCCCTACACCCCCTATGTTTTGATAGAACAAAATTGTTGTGTTTAAGAAGTATAGTTGATATTCCCAAATTCCCGAAAATTCAATTTCCTTTCAAGATGCGATGTGACCTAATATTCAAGCTTCTTCAGTTGATGGATATTATGTATTTATTTTTCATTCCTAACGGTAGAAAGGAACATGTGTGTACTTTATATTTAATATATTATTTCAATAGCGTTTGGTTTTTATACAGTGTCATTTGAATACAATATGATATCAGTATGTAGATAAACAGTTTACTTATAGTACAAGAAAATATCATTTGTCCATGAAATCATAAAGGCTTTCAAGAAATTCATTTAATTACATCAATTCTTTTCAATTCCATTTAATTGTCTAATGGAGACAAATTATTGCTCACATTTGCTTACAATTTAAAATTAGCTATTGAAATTGCCTGAGTTTGATTACCTCTAAGCTGTTGCGTTATTATAAGTTGAATTCGGTTGTATCTTCCCCACTTTCAGCGCCCTTTTTGTATGTGGTTGTAAAAAGATGTTGCCCTTTTTGTTGTTGAGTATGTTTAAATTTCAAAGGGGACAAGTGTTGCACACTTTCAAAGACCGTTACCCTGGCTACGCCCACGTTCTCTGCTCGGGTTTTATTGTCTTGTGTTTAAAAAAAACCCATTGACATTTCTGTGCTTGATGCACATGGACATTGATTCATCATAATTGGTTTTTATTTTTTGCACAATAACTTTGATTTGTAGTCCATAACTCATGTCCTATCCCTATGTGTTGTGGCATAGTGGATAGGTCTCCGGACTGTGAAACACAAATATACGGGGTTCGATATCCTGTCGCAGTACTAATGTCATTCGGCAAGGTATTAATCCAGATTTGCCACGCTCTACCCAGGTGAGGTAAATGGGTACCCGGCAGGTATCAATTCCTTATTAATTCCTAAATCCGTGGTTATAATCTCCACAATAATTATGTGTAAGGTGTACACATATTTCTGCACAACTTCTCCCATTTTTATGTTGTTACATTACAAAGTTCTGTTCTGCCGCCTTGATAATGAGATGAGAAACACGTCTTAGAATCATTTTAATATCAAAATGTTACTGTGATTTTATTTTATTTTCTCATATAAATAGTCATTTGTTACTTTTTACAAAATTTGAATTCATAGAACGGTTTAACAACATATTCAAATTTATATGCATCCTTTTTGTTTAACAGTTGATTCTTTACAACCTAAAAGCTTGTCCCAGCCTTACCCGACATAGCAACAAGTAATGTATCTCATCCATAACTTAGAATATGTTAGTAAACCGGTCTGTTTGTCCATTTTTCATTTCAAACACGTCACTTCTTGGCCGCATTATGTAGCAAAGAAAGAAAGGAAGGTAGAAGAGTTGCCAATTTAAAGACGAAACGTGATATGTATACCCCTGGAGGGGGCGCTGGAACATTTGGGGGCGGCATCAGCCTTACTTGAAACATAGAATGAACAATTTTACAAGGCTACTGATTGGAGGGAGGGAGGGTGAGCAAGATGGTCTATGTGCCTCCTGAACACCCCCCCCCCCTCCCCCTTCCCCTTTCTCCCTTCTCCCTTCTCCCGTTCCCTTTCTCTCCTTTCTTGTTATTTTTTTAAATACACAACTTCATGGGCCGGGGATGTGCCCCGTGCCCCCTACATCTACGCCACTGCATTCAAAGACACACAATGAACATGACACGAATAACGTTTGATTAATATTTTATTATACATTAATGTACATTTAATTCAGATACAATCAGTTGAATATTGTCAAAGTGTATTATTCAAAGTTGTGTTCTTCGATTGATGATTAAAATTTTCGTACTTTTGAATGTGAAACGTCGAGTCTGCATTGTTTATTCTGATATTGAAATCTTGTCTTCTTTGAGTTATATTGACTTTTTTTAAAGAGAAGGTTGAAGGCGAAAAATAATTTTGTGAGCGTTTTCGTTGTTATCATGCAAGTGTGGAAGAACATCAGAGAATTTTTTTTTTTTTTGGTCTCGAGATTTGAAAATTTGACATTTTGCTCCGTTGGGGGGGGGGGGTAAGGTCAACTTTTTTAGGGTCAGCCATTGGTATATATATATATATATATATATATATATATATATATTTTTTTTTTTTTTTTTTTTTTATTTTAATTAAAACAAAAAAACCAAAGGGGGGGGGGGGTTCCTCCAAAATACACACATAAAAAATACCAAGGGGAGGGGGGGGTTAACCCCCCCCCCCCCTGTGTACGCGCCTGTGTAGTCCCATATACATCTTTCTGTGTACACAGTGCTTGTTACTTTTACCAAGACTGGGGTAAATTTCTAATCATTTTGATGACTCCAGAACCTTGTCGTACATAACAATTCTTATATGCTAGATGATCAACCTCTTTTGATCGATTTCACACCGTTTCTTGCACACTGCAATCGCATGATCAAAACTTAATTTTATCTTTAAATTAAAAAAGAACTCGATCGCAAAAACTTTCACAAAAATCGACATAAAGATATTTCAATAGCTCTGTCCACCGTCAACATTTTGAAATGTGCAAACGTTACAATGACGTATTACGTAGTCCGGACATGAGTTCTAAAGGTATAGTGCAACAATATATTTAAATTCCCTTTTTAGTCATTTCCTGAAAGTCTCTGTGATCTTGTTAAAGTATTTTAAAAAAACATCTAAACTGAGATAAAAGTAGCCTGGATTTTTAAAAGCAAGACCCTCAGTCTATTATACAAACAACATGTATATAACTTATATAATTAACACTAAAGCATGCATGTATTGAATCAAATATCGCAATGGTAATGGTTATATAGCAAATTCGTTTGCAGGCAGATGGCTGAAATGCATAATTGTGTACATTGCGTAAAAAACTTAAATAATTAATCAACAAACATAAATAAACTACGGTAAAATTATCCAGAATGTCGTATTAAGAGATAACAATGATTGCATTTTCTAAATAAACCAGTTATACACCTACATATAAATCAATAAAGTTCGCTAAACAGGTATAACAATTGCTTCAATATATTCCACATTTTCAACAATCTTATATGAAAGGTCGTTCGAAATAAGAAATAAGAGAGAACAAAAGGGCTGGAGGGAAGTAAAGAAGAGAGGTACGGAGGGAAAATACAGACAGCACAGGAGATCAAGGAAAAGTATGAGAGAGAAAGAGAAAGACAGAGGGAGAGAAAGGGAGGGAGAGAGAGAGAGAGAGAAAGATATATATATATATATATATATATATATATATATATATATATCAGACAGAGTTACAAGACTAGGGCTGAGGATGGGACTGCATAACGGACATATCGAAAATAAGGTAAAAAGTACCACTTTGACATTTGAGAGAATACTGGTTGTAGATCCATTAATTATAATCACATTTTATATTTTGATTCTCGAGTTATAGATGACATATTTGTATATTGATAGGTAGGTATGCATAAAATGAAGAAAAAAACGAAATATGGTTATTATTTACGTTTTTCGTATGTTGGCAAATCCAATGAGAATGGTCCACTCTCTCTAATATTGTGACAGTTAAAAACTTATGCAGGTATCTATTGTCGAATATATAGATATAACCGATAAAACGTGTTGCTAAAGAGTATATTTTCATGGTTAAATCTGGCGTAGAGTATTGCTAATTCGACTGGGCATTTAAAAATGTACCTTCTGCTTTGGTATTAGAACGTTCTTAAACTGATTTTTTTTTTTCTTTCTCTTTGACATGTGCTTCTTTCCCGCAGGAATCTCTATTTCAGCTGCTCATTAACACGGAAGTTACTTGATAAACATATACAACATGTAATACATTTATTTAGTTTTTTGTTTTTGTTTAATATCAACACAGCCCTTAACCGTTTGTGATAATTTCAAACACACACACACAAGCACTCACACACATACACATCCACGCATACGCACTTACATACATGCACATACATAAATACATATTCATGATTAAATGGAAATTTAACATTCACTGATCGTTGGTCTGAGTAGAGAGGTACAATAAATGTTCAACAAGAAAAAATTACCTAAATTTAGTTTCTAACATAGTTATAGGAGTAAGAAAGTAATAAATGTATGAAAGTTGAAATTACGTATGATGAAGAAATCCTTGCTTTGCTGTTTGTTCATGAATTGTGTGGTCTCATAATACATGTAATAGTTACCTTTTAAAAAATTAGATAATTTTCGATTCCTTTATTTTCCCTTTGGTTTTAAAGGGGCTTAGATTGTCTGCTGTTTCTTGCACTGGGTATACACTATCGTACGTTTCTATAAGCAGGATAAGCATGGTGCGGAGAGAGAGAGAGAGGGAATTACTGTCTCAAAATATCCACAAGAAATGCTGTTGAATACGAGTTTGCACTATAAGCCTAATTCTAACCATTAGCCTCTGAAGTGACTTTGCCGATAAGTGTTTGATAGATTGTTGAAGGACTTTCATACAGCTGTTACATGTATTTCAGTGGAAAGGAGAAATTAGTTTTGCTGAACAGTCTGCGAAAAACCGGTCAGAATGGGCAAGCAAGTTGTGTTGTTTTGACCTTCTATTTCCCCCTTGCTCTGCTGATGAGGTCATGGCCTCGTAGGGCAGATGTCGTAATCACCAAACCCGACGTCGTTGATCGTACCTGCTGGTTTCTGGAAGAGATAAATCCTATCCTTGGTGCAGAAACAGATCTCACCCGTGATCAGTTCCCTGATAGAATAGAACGGCATTGCAGATATCTCGATGGGCCAATCTTGGAAGAGCGTCTCTTTAAGTTTGAAGTCGGTTGTCGAGTCGTACCGACGGACCGTCAGAAGGTCCATTCCCGCGGTTCCGGCACGCTGAGAGACGTACGCGACGATCACCGTGTTGTCTCTGCAGACATCAGCAACGATTAGTTCGTCACACGTGTTGTGTGTGAGCTCGCCGATGGCATCCCCCTTCAGGTTCAACACCTTGAGTTTCCGCCATGAAACCAGGACCACCGCGCCACTTGGAGACACACGAATGTCAAGAGGTTCTATGCTGTCAAAGGTGATCTCTCTTTGAGCAGCTCCACCTCGCGGCGAAAAGATCTGGATCTTCTTCGCTTTCTTGTACGCTACAAAAATAGCATGTTGTTCATCGACGCACAACTGGCCCGTTCCTCCTACGGTATTGTCGAGCGTCTCGAACTCGAAGCTTAGTTTCTCCATCGAAATACTGTAGATGTACAAGGTGTTGTCGGTGTCCAGAATAACGCAACGACCGTCCGGAAGAAAGGCAACGCTTCTCACCAGGACACCGGCCATTGACTCGAGATGTTCCCATTTTCCATACGGGCTGAAAAAATTCAAGCCGCCGCTATTCTTGGAGTAGCCAACTGCTAACTTCCCATCTGGTGTTGCGCACATACTGCGCACCGCGCCCCTGTTCGGGGCAACATAATCGAATCGCAGTTTCCATTCTTCTGGATCTGCTCTTTCCGTCATGCCCATGTTCGTTGGCTCATTGGCATGGAATGTGAAACTCTCGGCATACGCTGACGACTCCTTGACGATATCCAGATCAATGTCGTCCTCCAGGAGGGCTTCTAGTTCCTGACAAAGCGTGATGTAGGTCGACAGGGCCCCTCCACGCAGACGCTTCTTGTTATTGATCAGCAAGTTGGAACTGATCTTCGAAAGTGATTCTGAGTATTTCTGTACGTAGTCTTCTACCGTCTGCAGTTTGTTCAGCAAGAACCCCTCGCGTTCTCTTGTCTCTTCAAGAATCGCATCCCGTTCTTCTTGAAGATGCTTGACATGCTCGTTAAAGGTCCTCCGGACGTCTTCGATCAGGTTACTCGCCGACGCTTCAACTCGCTTCATCTGAGTCGACACCAGCTCCTTTCTCTGTTCAAGCGCGGTCTTCTTAATGGCTGTCCTGTTGACGAGTGACTGTGTCATCTTGTCTCTTACATTCATGCTTTCCATTTCGTAATCCGTGATCGGAACCACTTTGTGACGGAAATTAAAGTGCGACTGCGTACATAGGGAACATATGGCCTTTTGACAAGTATAGCAATAGTCGACCGCCTCTCTCGACTCATAGACCCTGCATCCAGAACATTTGATGGATGGCTCTGAGTAAGGGTTCTTGCAGGAGTCTACCAGTCCAGCTAGGGCTAGATTCTTGATGAGGTTGTTCGTATCTCCATGTGGAACGTGCGAAGACTTCTCACATTTGATGCAAGACACCGATTTCATAACCACGAACTCTCCGATGCACTTACGGCAGAAGGAATGTCCACAGGACAGGTATCTAGGGTCTTGGAACTGCTTCTGGCACTGTGGACATCGCATCGCCTCCTCCAAGCGCTTCAGTGTTCTCTCTTCTTTGTTTTCCACCGCCATGTCCAAGCATTCTCTGGTTCCTATTCTCCTTTCAGAAAGCTGTGGAATAAACAAGATCGAGAAGACATAAGATCTCATTGTAATCAATTTCCTAGAAGTGTCGAGGTATGTTGTGGATAAGTCAACGGAATAACGAGAATATAGATCTAATTGATGGAGTCTGAATCATGTCGTTAATAATTAACGTCTGCCACTCTCAACCCAAGTGAATATCATGGTTACCTGGAGTGTTTCACAAAGACTAAGATCGACATTAAGTTGGACTTAACTATGGCAAGCCGTTCATGCCACTAATTCCTCTAACCCATTCATGGCATTGGTTTCTCAAGGGACGTACAAATCGTGGTCACAAATCTACACAATTTACGTCTTGTGATAGTTCATTATTGAAGGAAAAATATTATCCAAAGATCATAATTGAGAGACTAATGGTGAGAGATAACAGTGGCATGAACGGCATGCCATATTTAAGTCCAACTTAAACTCGAGCTTAGTCTTTGTGAAACACCCCCTGGTCATCGGTCGATATGAGAACGTTGTAGGCACCTTGAACAGTTTCGTGAATAATGAGACAGTAGAGTATAACTTATTAACTTCAGTGGAACCTCCTGCAAACAAGCCCCTTGCGACCATGGAAGTTACTGTTGCAACCTTGATAATAATTATCACGGCTCAAAAATAATAATAATATGGATATTTATATCGCGCCGGTGTACCGCGGTGTTCGTCAGGCTCTAACGCTCATGGCGCTTTACAGAGTCATGTTACCATGGTTATAACCGAGCTGCCTAAGTGTAACTAGTGCTTAAGCATATCAGGTACCCATTTACACCTGGGTGGAGCGTGGCGAATGTAGATTAACGTCTTTCCAAAGGACATTAGTGCCACGGCGGGACTTGAACCCCGTAACTTGTGATCTGCAGTCGGGTGACTTATCCACTAGACCACAACTCCTCTAATAGAATGCAAAAGTGCGACAGACTATGTCAGTTTGATATATAATAGTGTCGGGGTTCCAATGTCATGACTGTAGGTACAGTTTTAACAATAATACAAATGGACAGGTTCACAGCTTTGTAATTGTAAAGTGTCATCCAAAATAATAATACAGGCATGAAATTAAAACAAAGGAGTCTACAGAAAAGCATCTTTAATTATAATCGCCTCCTCCTACTCCATTAATTGAATTCTGTTTCAGAATCATAAAAAAACAATCAGATTCATAATGTTTTTACCATAATATTCAACATTCTTAACATATATGTTTTTCCAATCCCATCAATGCCTGTGTATACCGTGAAAATGCCGGCATAGTACTGTTTTCATTCATGATTGCAGTCCCTGGTAATTATTAATTCACGCACTGAACCTAGACCGTCATGCGAAAATATTTGTTCCATATGATTATGTCAATTGGAGCATTGAACCGTGGGTGTTTATTTGTTTTAAATTCCGCACCACCACAGTTTCTAATGGGCTCCGACTTCGAAGGGGAAGTCTATCTTAGTCCGATACTAAATCAAATGAAGACAAATGAGAGAAATAGATCAGCGAAAGTACTGGGATCATTTGACAAAATAAAAGTCGATAACATGAAGTATTTAAGTTGCGCAAGATGAAAGACAAGCTGGCAACTTTGATATTATGCTTACTTTGCTCTACATGTACGTAATTAATATCATTTAATGTATGTCTATTTAAGTTGAAGAAAAATAGAAAATTAACCCTTGACACAATATTGCACATAATCCCTTTACAGATTCCCTTTATGAAAACACCGATCAATAATTGAACCAGGAAAATGGAAATATATCCCATTTCTAGTAGAAGGATATTGAAGGGGACCTCGAAAGGTCCGTAACAGGGTTGCATACCTTTCGTTCGATCGAGAACAACTTTAAAACTTCATAACTTCCATAGGTCTGTAAGATTTTTCTCAAACATTCACTGATCTTTTTCTCCCATTTCTTTTCTCTCATAAAAACCGACTTTAATACAGGGACACGAGGCACATACTCCCCCCCTTCCCCATTGAGTGGTGCATGAATAAACATAAAGACCATGTCGGAAAGGATAGAAAGAAAAAGGAGGAAGATAGAAAAGGATGAGGAAAGAAGACACTGGACCTCCTTCCTCACTCTAAGCCTTTTATAATTCTCGCATTTCATTTCTAAAAAAGACCCCCCCCCCCCCCCCCTCCCACCCCTCCTAAGTTGTTTCATTGACTCCTCACGATAGGAGAACTCACGACACGCCTTAGATAAAGACGGACTTTCACTTTGGGCACGCCATCACGGGACTGTATTATAGTCCCTACAGCAATGTTGCTATCAACAGAGCGAAGAGGGGTGTGCAAAGTCCACGAAATCACGAAAACGTGTCTAAAGGGCTATACAAATGGTTCCCTATTGTCTAGTTCCTCAAACAATCAATATAAATATCATTCTATTTTTGTAAAGGTTATCTGTATAAGTTGTCTGCAAAGCGTCATCGCCATTTTGATCGTGCCATTTGCAAGACTTTTAGAAAATATTAGGTTTCATACATGTTTCGTAGATAGATTTCTACTTGTATAGAAGTCGAGATTAAAAATAAAACACGCTCCTTGTACCTTATACGTTGTATTACTGGATTCCAGACATGGATATTGTTAAATATATTCATATTTATTTTGTATTTCCCACATCTGAACGGCAGGATTCCAGCTTGCTTCCAAAACATAGACTCTGATTTACACAACGATTTAAACCCACTTCAGCAATCAGTATGGCAAATCTTAGATAGATTGCAGTTACTAGACTTTTATCGGCTTTTGTTTTCGTTTTTAGATAATAAAGTTACTTCGTTAATTCAAAATGAATTATGAATATTGCTAATTGTTCCAACGCTTTATAAGGGAATCTCGAACTCAGAAATATAAATCCCAAATTATATAAAGCTCTTAGACTGCGGCATAATGAATTTGGGTTTGGGTGAAGGGGGGGGGGGGAGGGGGCACATAATATAATTGTATTGCTCCCCCCCCCCCCCGCGACACTACTGATTATAGCAAGAGATAGCTATAGAGCTTAACGGCGGTATGAATACCATTTCTTTTGGATAGGCCTATAAACATATTATAAGTTAGCTTTACCGATATGATATGAACATTAAAGGATGCACTCATACCTGCATAAAGTAGCAATCCATGGCTTACTATTTTGTGTCTTCTCAATTTACCAAACGCAAACTCGACTAACGATCCCATTTATAGCCCTTTGCTTCTCATATTCATATAAATACAAAGTGTCATACTCACTTAATATTCTAGCAGTTATTAACAGTCACAGCTCACTACAAACATAAACGAGACGGCTCTAGATGTTAATAGTCCAGTTTATTCTCTCCACAATCCGAAAGAAGTTATATTCCTGGAGTTGTCCAAGAGTTTGCCTCCACGTTCGATCTATCCGCTGCCTCAAAATGGGTTTCCCCGGCACTACACCTCTCAACTTGCCAAAAACTGAGCCAAGCGTGACGTCATGTTTTATGAACGTCTTTTACCCTGAATGCAGGAACCGATATGCGTGGTCGTTCGGAACCCGGTAAGTCGTCTGCTTTTGGAAGGACTGATTATTATGTCGGTATCATTAATATAACAACGCCGCACATACCACCTTTTCAAAATTCACCCATTCTCTAAACAATCTCGCAAACCATAAACTGAAAGCATAAATGAGTTTGTGGAGTACAACAAGGAAGTGTTGCGCACGGAAAGTGTAGTGTTTCCGATTTCTAAAAAGGGCAATTGAAAATACCAGTATAGTTGTGAAAGGGTATTCTCGTAATATCACATCCAAAATATACGTTTATTGTGTGGCATTCGACGCAGAGGGATGAAAGAGCCGAAAATTTGACAAGCCAAGAAAACACGAACCACTCCTTTCAGCCCCCCCCCCCCCCCAGAAGAAAAACAAAATAATAAAAATGTTTATGTATTATATGTTGCAGAGCCCCTTTCTCCATCTAAGATAGGAGGAGTTACTATGGTATCAAAATAAAGTAAGTTACAGGAAAGGGGTGTTTTTTTTTTACCCCTAACTCCCGAATCCCTCCCCCCCCCCCACGAAGATTCACATTGCCAATTAATCAACGGTATAACAATAGATATCATCGTGTAACTTACAAGCGTGGATAGAAAGTGAAACTGTGTGTATCGATTAGCAACATAGTATTTTCCTTTTAAGTATACTCGTTTGGATGTTTATAATGCTTCGGGTTCTCACGTGCACGCAATGGTGATCATAATATTTCGCTCTTGTATAGTACCTACGAGCTTCCCATATTTGGACTTTGTTTATATTTTTTACCATGTCTTTTGCTCCGGCATTCGTAGCGCTTAGCTCAGTGCTGATAATCCAATGAAGAAATCCTACAATGTACAAACACAGGGGCGGACCCAGGATGGAGGGGGCGGGCGGGCCCCCACCTCTGACCCCCAAAATAGTTTTTTTTTTAATGGTAACGTTGATGTTATCCCCCCCCCCCCCCCCCCCCGTTGAGTAAAATTGCTGATTCGCCGCTAAATATTTTCTCACAAATTGGGCCCCCGCTGGATCCCTGTACCCACAAACAGTGTGCGACACCTGGGTGGAGAGTGGCACATGTAGATTATTGTCTTGCCATAGGATATTGGTGCCGCGGTGGGGATTCGAACCCTGTGCCTTGTGATTCACAGTTCAGTGATGTATCCACTAGACCACAACGCCTCTACACCGGCCGCTCTGTTTGGGGTTTGCATTCATTCCATTGGGGGGAGGGGGGGCGTTCGTTCTTCACACCATGATTTGTTTTCTCATGTTATGAAGTTATATATATATATATATATATTTGTATTCATTTATGAATCTTCGGCTTCTACTATAAAGATCAAAGTAATTCCATAACCAGACTTGGCCTCTGATTAACTAAAGCTGTAAAGACCCCCCCCCCCCCCCAAAAAAAAAAAAAAAAAAAAAAAAAGATTTTGATTTTGATTTTTTTTTTTTTTTTTTTTTTTTTTTTTTTTTGGGGGGGGGGGGTTCTTTACAGCTTTAGTTAATCAAAGGCCAAGTCTGGTTATGGAATTACTTTGATCTTTATAGTAGAAGCAGAAAAATCATACAGATAGATCAAAAACAGTTTAAGGTAAATCAAACGACTAATAAGGAATTTGTGAAGTTTTTAATTAAATGAAAAACCATGGAAAACTCTTAAAATCACTAGACAAATTGGTAAAGCAATGAATTCCCGCACAACTCACGTATTAATTTTCTTGTATTGATTACACGAATGTTTAATTATCTTTTGGCAAATAAATGAATTTTCCATTACTTAAACCAAGTTATGTTTGTAGTTATTTTTTATTGCATAATAAACTCTTCATAACCCTGAATATTTTTAATTTTTGATATGAAATTAAAAAGTAAGTGATGAAAAAAATGTGATTTTTTTTTTTTTAAACGTCGATTACTAAAATATTTTGTGAAAGTGTACATGCAAGACACATTGTTTCAAATAATAACTTGGTTCAAGTTATGAGAAGAATCGTATTCTTGGACTAGAAATTCAGTATACAATTCATGTCGTCAGTAAAGTTTGTCATGCTTTTTGCTTTTTTTAAAATTTCATTACAAACATCAGTTTCTTTTTCCTTGTCCGCTTTTCCCCCTTACGCTTTTTATTCTCTTTATCTCATTTGTTTGCCTTTATTGAAAGCAACGTATTCATAGACTGGACTCACCCTTTCAAATTTTTCCACGCACTTCTCTAGTTTTGTCTTTTACATTAATAAAAGTCTCAAACAAAAATGATAGTCAGATACCTATACATTTTTCAAACCAAAGTTTATTGCCTATACATACAAAAATAATAATAATAATAATGATCTCGAAATATACCTCTCTAATATTAAAATACATCATTCTCAACTTAGTAAACAATGATATTACAACATATCATTCTCAACTTTGTAAACAATGATATTATAATACATCATTCTCAACTTTGTAAACAATGATATTATAATACATCATTCTCAACTTTGTAAACAATGATATTATAATACATCATTCTCAACTTTGTAAACAATGATATTATAATACATCATTCTCAACTTTGTAAACAATGACATTATAATACATCATTCTCAACTTTGTAAATAATGATATTATAATACATCATTCTCAACTTTGTAAACAATGATATTATAATACATCATTCTCAACTTTGTAAACAATGATATTATAATACATCATTCTCAACTTTGTAAACAATGATATTATAATACATCATTCTCAACTATGTGAACAATGATATTATAATACATCCTTCTCAACTATGTAAACAATGACATTATAATACATCATTCTCAACTTTGTAAACAATGATATTAAAATACATCATTCTCAACTTTGTTAACAATGATATTATAATACATCATTCTCAAATCTCAAATTTGTAAATAATGATATTATAATACATCATTCTCAACTTTGTAAACAATGATTATTATAATACATCATTCTCAAATCTTAAATTTGTAAATAATGATATTATAATACATCATTCTCAACTTTGTAAACAATGATATTATAATACATTTCTCAACTTTGTAAACAATGATATTATAATACATCATTCTCAACTTTGTAAACAACGATTATTATAATACATCATTCTCAAATCTCAAATTTGTAAACAATGATATTAAAATACATCATTCTCAACTTTGTAAACAATGATATTATAATACATCATTCTCAACTTTGTAAACAATGATATTATAATACATCATTCTCAACTTTGTAAACAATGATATTATAATACATCATTCTCAACTTTGTAAACAATGATATTATAATACATCATTCTCAACTTTGTAAACAATGATATTATAATACATCATTCTCAACTTTGTAAACAATGATATTATAATACATCATTCTCAACTTTGTAAACAATGATATTATAATACATCATTCTCAACTTTGTAAACAATGATATTATAATACATCATTCTCAACTTTGTAAACAATGATATTAAAATACATCATTCTCAACTTTGTAAACAATGATATTATAATACATCATTCTCAACTTTGTAAACAATGATATTATAATACATCATTCTCAACTTTGTAAACAATGATATTATAATACATCATTCTCAACTTTGTAAACAATGATATTATAATACATCATTCTCAACTTTGTAAACAATGATATTATAATTCATCATTCTCAACTTTGTAAACAATGATATTATAATTCATCATTCTCAACTTTGTAAACAATACATTTTTATTACAACCTTCATATTCTGACATGTACAAGTACTTTTGATCAAGGCAACATTCATTCTTTATTTCAATTCTTGCTGAATCAAAGGCACACAATAGGTTTTGAATTCGGTTCAAGAATTGCTTCATAATGCAATCATTTTTTTGTTTGTCCAGCTTCTTTTGAACAATGTTACAACAGTGTTCTTCAAATTTACACAAGATTCCAAAAGATATTCAAATATTGATCATCTTATACACACACATGTTTTACTACTAACTGTGTGAGGCCTGTGAATTTGTTTCATTTCATTTGTGTAACTTGAAAATGTCACAATTGTTCTGTTTACACTGACTAACGGCACTGAGGGGGTTAAAGGATAAACAGTATAAAACAAGGTATTGATTTTTTTTAATCCAAAGTTCATTCTTTCATTATAACCTTGCAAATAATACTCATGTTAAGATAAAAGCCTCTTATACAAAAGGTTTTCACTACATACAACAAATGTTTTGCAGATTCTGTGTAAAAGGTAGTCAATTCATTCTTTTAAGAAAAAACAAAAACCCATAACATTTCTACAAAGACGTTCAAAAAATCACCTCAGGGGCAATTTTGATACCATATTGTAATTGTCTACAGAAATCCTGTTTGTGTTATGTAATATGTTATTGTAACTTCTGTACATTTCAATAGGTAATGCACACAGGTTTTAAATTACCTTGTGATGATTTCTTGGTGATCATGTTCGATAAATTTATTTTACAAAAATAATAATAAATGACTATGTTATCAACATAGATTGTATCACTGCAATCACTTCAATATAAAGCTTGAACTAAAACTAAGATGTCTTCTGAAGACTTCAAGATTAACGTCCTTTGGTACAAAATTATTTGATCAAAATATTATTCGAAAGCAAGATTTTCACTATTCAATAATTACTGTTTAATTACATCATTTTAAAAGCTTCTTAATTACAGAGCTAATCATGAGTTGTTCAATCATAAAGCACACATATTTTTTAATTCCATTCCTGAATTCAATTTGATTCAATTCCAATTCAAAGTGGTCTGCGTTGGGAAGTTGCAACCTAAACTATATTTCACACAAAATAACAGCTTTTATACCAGCCCAGTATAAATTACAGCATTTACACATATCTCCATAATAAGGACATTTGATCAAACTTATATGAAACATGGAAAAAGCCAAATACCATGTCCATATTCTGCCATGAACTTCCCTTTGAATGTCTCCTTTTATGGGTAATAAAATTCTTATACATACTTTTAGCAATTTTTGCTCTTCTTTACTATCCAAGAAAACAATATTCTGAGTCAACTATCCTAACTATTATCTTTACACAAAAGTTGTGTTGAACAAACAAAGTTCATAAAAAAGCAGGAAATCCTCACAATCCAATCCAATCAGTTATTAATTTTGGTTAATATTAATGATTGGGCCTCC